ACGAGTGCTGAATATAGGGGAATGATGTAATGACTTCATTGGGCTGCGTTGGTGTTGTGGCTTTCCACGAAGAGGCAAGGGAAATAATTGAGTGACATTGCTAGAAGATAAAAATAGCAAGGTTTCTTCCACAGCCAAACGGTGATGCGGGTCCTGTATGTTCAGAGCCTCTCTTGCCTGTGGCCAGCCCTCTCCTGGCTCCTTGGGGAACAGAGAGCAAGCTGCCAGGAGGCATACTGCACTGTGTATGGGAAAGGGCAGCAGTAAGCAAAGAGCAGCCACATCTAGTAGGTTGCCCATCAGGAGGTTGAGGAATGAAACAGAACTCTGGTCCCTGGTTGCTGGCAGGGCTGGCACATCACTAGCCTATTTGCAGAAAGTGGTTTGAAGCTGCTAAGTGGAGGACTCTGCATCCAGAACAAATGCACATTCAGACCCTGAAAACATCAAAGGCAGGACTCACTCAGACCTGCACTCCCTGATTTTAAGCCTAACCTTGATCACCTACACATCACGCTGCCCTTGTGACATCCCATCTGCAGCACTGTGTCCAGGCCTGGGGCCCAAGCACAAGAGGGATGTAGAGATGCTGGAGGGGGTTCAGGGGAGACCACAAAGATGCTCAGAGAGTTGGAGGACCTCTGCTGTGAAAGACAGGTGGAGGGAGCTGGGCTTGGTTAGCTTGGAGAAGAGAAGGGTTTGGGGAGACCTTATTGTGGCCTTCCAGTACATAAAGGGAGCTTCTAAACAGGAGAGAGACTGGCTTTTTACACAGTCTAATAGTGGTAGGACAAGGGGGAATGGCTTTAAACAAAAAGAGGAGAAATTTAGATTACATAGGGGAAAATTTTTCATTGAGAGGAGTATGAAGTCCTGGAACAGGCTGCCCACAGAGCTGTGGGTGCCCCATCCATGGAGATGCTCAAGACCTCCAACCTTGAGCAGCCTGAGCTGGTGGGGGGCAATTAGCCCATAGCAGGGATTGGAACTAGATGATCTTTAAGGTCCTTTTCAACCATTCTATGAGCCTATGCCTTCTTCCATCCAGCACTGAACCTTGGTGTAAGAACAACCACAGAGACTCAGATGAAATGCCTCATCTAACTCCATCGCCTTTATCCTGACAGCGGCCCAGAGAAAGTCAGGCAAGACACCAGAATACTTTCCCAGCTTCCAGGAATCCAAGTTCAAAGACTTCTGAGATAGTAATTCAGTCTTCATATTCTTATAATGCTGAATGGATTTATTTTACAAACATTTCTCCAGTCACTGTGCAATCCATGCAATCTTATGGTATCTGTAAGGTCTCACATCAAAGACTGCCTCAGCTTCACTGCACTCAGGATGAGAAATGACAAAAGAGCTTCTTTCCTTGAGCTATATTTTTTGAATCTTCTTCTATTTGCTGGAAGAACTGGGGCTTATTTATCAGCTTTGTATGCATCCCTGAGGTTGTGAAAACCATTCCAATGCATCTGGTTATTGATGTGGCTCTTCAGACTGACTTTTCCTTGCATCCACCTCCCCCATACTCTAGCATTAGCACCACTGATGGGTGAAGGTCTGTCTGCATTGCCCATAGCCTTGTGGCACTGGTCTTGTGCTGGATTGCTCCATTACCCCATCTGGTTAAATGCAGGTGCCTGTGACAGCATGTGGACTCCATCCAGTTCTGTGCATGACATCAGTCTGATGTCTACATCAATTTATGAAAAGCAGTGGAATCTGAGGTGAAGGTCCGGCCAGCACTGCAGAGAGCAGATCTGCTGAAGCCTCTGGCTGAGGGTGGAAGAAGGATGTATCCCTACAATGGAGGATTTGGGACAGAAGGGTAAGAATTAATTAATTTGGAAGCAGCTGCCAGGAAATCCTACTCAGAGATGTCTCCTACTGAGAATCAAAAGATGCAGGATTCCCTAGGCAGTGGTTGCCCTTCAGGGGTCTCACTGAGCCCCTGTTCTTTCATACAGGAAGGGAAGGTACATTCCCTGTGTGGTGCAGCTGAGTTGGCAAGCTCCGCACTTGGGAAGGAAACATCCTCTTTATTGCCAATTTTGAATATGTCTGGTGTGGCCCCTTTTTTTCAAAGGAATATTTGGGCAAAATCTTTGATTTCCCCAAAGCAAACATCACTACTGCAGAACATCCCTCAATTTTAAGCTTTTGAGTAGCTTTCTATGGGCTAATTTTCCTTAATAACAAGCTGGCGGTGTCTTCTGTGGCAGATCCTGGGACTGATCCACAAACAGCCTTCCTGGGCTTTAGTGAGATAGCAGCATTGATCTGGGGACATGGTAACTCACAGATTTCCTTGCCTGCATGCTCCCCCTTGTACATACAGCTGTGCAAGTGGGTGAGGCTGCAATTTCACTTCCTAATAATATTTCCTCAGCTCCTGTGTAGCACTTTACAAAAAAAAAGAGAGCATTATTTCAACTTTACAGTGAAACAAACTAAATCCAAAAGAAGTCATCCAGGAACTGGAAACGTAAACCAAACACTGAGGAATCTAGTTTAGTGGCTGTCCCTCTTAAGTGGTTTTTGTTTTGGTTTGTTTTTTTTTTTTTTGTTTCCCATCAGCATTAGGGAATTCGGACCATTTTTTTGATTGGCCCTTTTTACTCTCCCTTTCCATATCAGCAGCAATTAAATTCCTCCATTTTGGAGGACTGAAAAGTAGCATGACAAGCTGCAAATGCAGCTGGGGTGAGGAACAACTGAACCAAGCTGCTGCCCACAGCTGCAAACAGTAAGATGTTATGGTCAAATAATTATAGCTACTTCTTGCTCCCTCACTTTGCTGAGTGAAGCTGATGCTGACTGTACTTCAGCTGTGCATCCTGACTGTCTTTGAACCTCTTCATGGTTTAGAAACTGCCTTAATTTTCAACAGAAATCAGCAAACAGACAAAAGGCTGTGTGAGCAATGTGTGCATCCAATGCACTCACCAACAAGGCTACTACAGAATTCTTCCAGCTGTGCTACAGACGCTATTCCTGCATCTCAGTGATCTAAACCAGCCCACTAGCACTTCTAACTTGCACTATGAAGGGGATCAGGAAGAGATCAGCCTTCTCTAGGATGTCCTCTGTGTTATCAATGGAGCACAGAGAAGAAAGATTTGTACCCTGCTGTAAATGTGGCTGGCTGACAGCTGATAGTGATCAGGATTCCTGCAGCTGAATGTTGAGTCACACTCAAACCAGCAGCTCCATGGACAAGGCAAAAGGCCAACCTGGCCACAACTGTTGCTTGTCAATGGATTACTGATCCACAGTCAGGTGGGTATGGGCAGCAGCTCAGTTACTTTCACAGTGCTTACAGAAAGAACAAAGCTACAGGTTGAGGTGGGGGGTGGGCATAGTTTGTGACATGCTTCTGGAGCGCTAACGAAAGTAGCTGGCCTAATTAATTCCTGTGCACAGAGGCAGAGATTGGCAGCTCTGTCATCCACGCAGTCAGCCATGGGAAGGAGCCCAGCCCTGCCAGATTACACTGAATCCAGTATGAAAGGAAACATATTAGCAGGTTGCGTGTGAAGTATTGACATCTTTTGTTCTTCTGTTTGCATCTTACAAGGAGATCTGGAGTGGACTCACAGGAGCAGACAACTGAACCAAATTTGCACCATGGTAAAAATCTTTTGCTGTGAGCCTTGAAGCTCTTTTTCTGCAATTATCCCATAGCAATGTTATTACTGATGTCTGCTGCACAGTCATTTAGTATGGATAGGGGCCTAAGTGTGACTCCCTCAATCTGATTACTTCTACTGCAAAAAACCCTCATATTTGCATAAACATAGAATCATAGAATGGCCTGGGTTGAAAAGGACCACAGTGTCCATCTAGTTTCAACCCCCTGCTATGTGCAGTGTTGCCAACCAGCAGACCAGGCTGCCCAGAGCCACATCCAGCCTGGCCTTGAATGCCTGCAGGGATGGGGCATCCACAGCCTCCTTGGGCAACCTGTGCCAGTGCCTCACCACCCTCTGGGGGAAAAACTTCCTCCTAATATCTAACCTAAACCTCCTTAGTTTAAAACCATTCCCCCATGTCTTATCACTACCCAAACACGATGCCTTCTAATTAGAGATCTTATTCTCTTATGCTGGAAGGGGCAGAGTAAAGCAAAGGTTGCAGCTGCAGCAGCAGAACCCAGCTCAGTCTAATGCCGAGAACAGTGGAGCGTTTTCCCGGCAGAATTGCAATGTGAAAGAATTTTCCAGGGCTACTCCAGGTCAGGTTTTCTTATTGGCAGCCAGCCTTGTGCTCCAGTGGTTGTGTGGATGGCTCCACCTGGTGGATCTTGGCTCCAGAGAAGTTCCTTTCCCTGTGGCAGTGTGCACTCTGCTTTTCTGAGTTTTTCTTTCACTGTGCAGCTGAAGTCTACAAGCTCTTGCACAGCACCGATTAGGAACTAATGGAAAAAGCCCATGAGTTGAAATGGTAGCACAGGGGTTGAGTCCCAGTTTTCCTGCCCTGTCTGGGATTTTCAGCACTTGCCTGCTGTGCCTCCTCAAATGAGAGCCCTGGGCGTATGATAAATGGGTTTGTAATAGAAAGAGCATTGAACATGGAACATGTTCAGTGTTCTGGCTGCAAAGAGCATGGAACAGCTATGGCAGATAATGCTGAGGTTCACATTTGAGATGTATTTCTGGGTTTGTCATTGCTGCACTAAGGCTTGTCTAACTGAGTCCGTCAGGCAAAAGTAGTCAAACTTCTCTAAAATGATTTGTCTCTGTAGCTTTGGGACTCCTGTGACAGTCATACACTGAAGGGGAGAATTTTCACTCTCATTTTCATGCACAATTGCAAAAATGTCATACAACTTGTATGGGAACTGCTGAGTCACGGCCTGAACCTCTGATTGATCACCTGATGTGAGCAATGATCAGCCAGAGGAGCACAGGTGAAGGCAATTCAGCTGTGCTGCTGGAAGGCCTATTTAAAAGCTGGCTACCAGTGGGGAAGGATCTTTTTTGGAGATCTGTTCTGCTGCAGTTTTGTAAGTGAGCCCAGGATAGGGGTAAGCTTTCTATCCGTTCTCTTTTTGTTATCATAATCTGCTTTGCCAAACTCTCTTGTTTATTTTGTAGTGGTAGCATCTTAATATTCATTGATTACACTCAACTCAAGCTGTTTGGGGAGTGGCATAACTGCAAGCTGAATGCAACTGCCCTTCGTCTCCCTCTGTGGATACATCATGCTGTCAGTCCTGCCCTGCAGTCAAGACGTTTTCCTTCTGCTTTCAGGCTGGTGCTCCACTGCCTTTCACCTTGATACATCTTCAGCCAAGTACAGAAAAGAGAGAGCAGCAAATCTGAGCGTGTTGTGGTATGACCCTGCATGATCACTGTGGCTCATTTCCTCTGGAAAGGAAACTGCTATCTCGCACGTAGAAGGGAGAGATCTGTTTACTTTTCTTCTTAATATTTGTTTTTCCTGTACTTGCTGTCTGGTTCCTCTGGGGTGCACTGCAGGCTGATCAGTCTGCCTCTGACATCCAGAGGCTTTGGGCGCTTTATAAGTAAAGGTTGTTAATGTTAGTTGTCATTATTATTAAGGGGAAATTGTGAATCATAATTTGTAAGGCTCATCTCTGGAAATCAGCACCAGCCCGCTCTGTACTGTTACAGTGGGCTAGATGAGAAGGAGAATGATTTGCAAATAAAAGCTGGAAGGTTTCTCATGCCACTGATATGAGTGTGGCTTCACCCACACGGCTCAGCTACCATTGCAACTCACACCAACAACGGCGTCAGAAGGACCTCTGGCTGCGGTCCTGCAAGTGGCCTGCACTTGCTCAGTTCAGAAAAGGGGGAGAGATTGCATATTAGCCTTGTGACCTTTGCTCTTTTTCACTCCTCTGCTCTGCTCACTTGTCTGCAGGCTGTACTGAAGGATTCTGCACTGCTGGGGGACAGCTGAGGTCCGTGAAGCTGCCTCTGGGTTGGCCTTCAGCTTGCTCGTGCATCCAGACACAGTGAACTGGAGCTTTGGCATAGGTAAAGAACTGATCTAGGAATCCCCTTGTGTAGCAGTGTGGGGGACAGAGTTTGGGATGGGATAGGTCACAATGATGGTAGTGAACTGGGAACTGAGGATGTGCTAGGTAGGTAGCTGGCACTGTGGCAATGTGGCCAAAACCCTGTGAGGTCACTCACGTGGATAATGATGGGACAAGGGAGAATGGTTTTAAAGTGAGACAGGGGAGGTTTAGGTGAGATATTAGGAGGAAGCTTTTCCCCCAGAGGGTGGTGAGGCACTGGAACAGGCTGCCCAAGGAGGCTGTGGATGCCCCATCCCTGCAGGCATTCAAGGCCAGGCTGGATGTGGCTCTGGGCAGCCTGGGCTGCTGGTTGGTGACCCTACACATAGCAGGACGTTGGAACTAGATGAGCATCGTGGTCCTTTTCAACCCAGACCATTCTACGATTCTGTGACTTCAGCAAGGAGCCATTACGGAGAAGCAGCTTCATGTTAGAGCCTGGCTTAGTGCTAGACTTTAGAAAGAGATCCAAAGCAGACTGTGTAAATGTGGAACTGTGTTTTCATACCTGTTTATTACACTTGCAACGTGTCAAACAGCATGCTGGTTTGTGGAGAACAGGCAGAAAATGGCCAGTAATTCTCACCAAAATACTTACTTTCAATTACCGTTCAAATTAGATATACAATAATGTTACAGGACAAGGGGAAATGCTTTTAATGCTTTTAGATTTAGACTAGATATTAGGAAGAAATTCTTTACTGTGAAGGTGGTGAGACACTGAACAGGTTCCCAATGAGTCTGTGGATGTCCCCTCTCAGAAGAATTCAAGGCCAGGCTGGATGGGGCTGTGAGCAGCCTGGTCTAGAGGGAGGTGTCCCTGCCTCTAGCAGGGAGTTGGGACTACCTGATCTTAAAGGTCCCTTCTGACCTGAACTGTTCTATGAATATTGACCTCTTTATGCTGTTTATGTGTACAATTGTCTTTTTTTCCTTCTTCAAAATGAATTAAGAGGAAAGGAGGTTTCGAGAGAGGACAACACGCTTGTTTTTTCTGCTGCCTGCAGGTGGGTTATCATGGTGATCTAAGTATTTTAAAGTGATAAATAACTGTAAAAATAAGCTGTTGAGGTCTCAGGCACTAGAATCAATTGCACAGAGAAGCATAGGACATGCTGGCTGCACTGAGGGTCTCGTAGAATCTCAACATGAATTTTTTAGCATACTGGGGCAGTGTCCTCTTTTGCAGTCAGGATTTTGAGAAAGAATTTGTAAGCGGAAACACCGGCTGAGCAGAGTATTTCCCATTTACCAGATAGATGAAGCAGGTCTCTGCAGCTAAGGTGCCATCACTGTACAAGAAGGGCTTCTATATAAAAGTCACTTTTATATTATATTACATAAAACAGTCTCCTTTCTGCAGAACCAGCGCTTGATCTCATGAGTTAGATGACTTTTGAAAGGTGCCTGGAAGTCCCTTGCAGAAGTTGCTGCTCCCAGGAATGTGCTGACATAATGGCTCCTACAGAAGCGTGAAGCTGAATCAGGTCCTCGCCCTGCTCTGTGCAGAATTATGTCCCAGTGAGGAGGGATCAGAAAGAGGCTTCCTGAAATACTGCCCTTGCACTAGAGGTAAGAAAAGCTCTGCAAGTGATTCATGCGAAGTTTGCTCTCACAGTAGTCATCTATGTGCAAGCTAGGTAGGCTCAGGGCAAGAAATGGGATGATGGGAAAGCTGTGTGAAAATGCTCTTTGTAAATACAGCTTACGGTGTTGATGGGTGCTGTGGTAACAAATCCCTAAATCAGGCACTGTACCTGACTGGCCTTGTGTTCTAGGGCTGTGTTTGAGCTGTTACAGTGGGATTGCTTTTGATGTGTGCCCCTGAAGTATGGCAGAAGGATTTTCTCACTGAGAGCTTTGTATGGATCTCTGTATTTGGTGAGAAAAGGGACAGTCTTGCAGTGGGGGAAATAAGAGAATCCAGGCATCAGGGCTTGCCCAAGTTCACTAGAAAGTCTGGGACAGAGCAGGAACTGAACCAGCAGAGTGAATCCCAAGACTGGATATTCTTTCTGCTGCACACCGCATAGGAACCAGAGTGGGATTCAGTGAAATGTGGGTGTCTACACGTGAAACGGGGCCTGAACTCTCAGCATAGCAACAGATACCTACTCCGTATGGTCAGGAAACCCTGCAGCTAGCATCTGTGTTGGCTAAGCTGTTCTCCATGTGATTTACCTGTCCAAATCTAAGCATACAACACTTTTAGATGCCCTCTGTCCTTCACACACAGCCACGATAAATCTTTTCCTTACCAACACACAAAAATCTTTGCTTTCCAGGCACAAACCCTCAGATTTGTCCAATTCATCCTTCTCAGCTGTTAGTCACCTCTCAACCATATTTGGTTCTTAGTCCTGTGGTCTGAATGTTAGGTCTTTCTCATCTGGGTCTGGACTGGAGGGTGAGAGCTGAGAGGTTTGAGTACCTGTGGTGGGATTGAACCTGCTGTGTGCCTGGAGTTGTTTCTGCTCTCTCCCCTGAGAGATGGATGGGATGATAGCTCTGCCTGATAAGGGCACAGACTATCATCAGTGATTTTCAGGTTAATATAAGTGCATGGGTATAGTGCTTGTGTTACATGTACCTCCCATGCTCGTGTAACCAAAGGGAGTTTTGCCACAGTGAAGCTGCCAACAACCAAAACGTAGCTGGGAAGTTTGCAGTAATAATAATAATTCTAAACCTTCTCCTATCTTTTTTTTTTTTTTTTAAAGATCTGTCACAATTGAGACAACTTTCAAATATAAATTGTGTTAATAATGCTCCAATTTGCTCAGTCAGAGGCTGGGAAGGAGCAGAACCCAGAAATAAAACATAAAAAGTGTGTTCTGGCCACTGAAGCCAGTGTTGGCACATCTTTTCATGGATCACTCTGGACTGGGGAAGTCATCTAATCAAGAACAGGCTAGCATGGACAAAAGCTGGCTCAGCTTCCAGGCTGCTCCACCCAGGCTGGAGGCATCTTCCTGTGTTCTGGTGAGTCACAGCCCTCCCTGCCAGCTGCAGCACCAGTTTCCAGTATGCCACTCAGCAGCCAAAGCCTCACTTAATAGCTGGGCTGCTCCCTTGGTCTTGGCCCCAAAAGCTTCTTTCCAGGAAGGTGTATGCAGGCTGACAGTGCCCAGTTCAGAGGCATGGGTGGGAGTGCAGTGCTGGGTTTCTTTTCTTGACTGCCATAATCTCTGCTGATGTGATGGAGATACCATCAGCACCAAACTGAGTTGTGAAAATGGGCTGAGGAGGTGAATCTGCAAATCTTCCTCACCGGACTGAGGAGTGCAGATTGAAGAAGACTCAATACTATTACAAGCTTTACATTGGAAGATTTTGTCTGTTGGATACAAGAAGCCACTGGTATTCAAGAAACTTTTCACTCACTGGAGTGACTGGAGCTACAAAGAAAGCCATCCTACATGTAATTAAATGAGCCGTTGTTATTAATGTAACTTTTCTGAGCTTCTTGGAGGGAGGCTCTGAAATGGCTTTGGCAGCAGAGACCTGGGGTGTTGTTACCCTTGCTGTGACACACACCCATGCTGTGAGCAGTGGTGGGCTCATACAGTAACACAGTGTGATCAGCACTCATCCAGCATCCTTGAGAAAGCAGGGCTGGTAGGTCTGTGCAGGAATGGTTTTCCAATTAACAGCAACAAAACCCAGCACGTGACACAAGAGACTTTCAGAAGATCAGCAGCACTGTTCTTCATATGCTAGCTAAAATCCATGGTGGGGAATGTTACTTTAGAGCATTAATTGTGCAGATTCAGATGCCTTGCATGCCATGTGCTCCATAGCAAGGAATTGCCCAGCAGGTGCTGCATGTCAGTATTGATGATCCAGCTCCTCCAGCTTGAGTGCCTTGTGTGTGACACATGTTGGCTGTCCAGAAGAAAGGTGCAGCACTGCTGAGGTGCACACACACATGCACAAACATATATATGTGTGTGTGCCAGATGTGTAGAGTGAGTCACTAGGGCCACTTTGAATGGTTCATAATGCTTGGCTTTTGATGGCATCTATCAGTTGTGGTTCCAGAGGTGACTTCATGCTGTCGTGAGGCCAGCCTGAGCACTGTCAAGGCAAGCCTCTTACCCAAAGCTAACAGTGATTGAGAGCTGGGAGTCAGCAACCAAGGTATGGCTCTGACAGGCAGGCAGCCTTGCCTTCCTTGAATGGGGGATTTGCAGTCAGATTCAAGGGGTCATGGGAGATTGTAGGTCCTGTTCTTCACATGAAGGAGATCTGGAAGATCTCACGCTGTAAAGATGCTCCCTGGGTACCTTAGCTTTATTCATACAGGCATGAACATTAGCAGCCTTGCTGGAAGCAGAATTTGGCACTCTATTTGGGAAGCACAGACTGATCCTTCAGTCCTTCTGTCCCTTTCTTTCATTTTGTGTTACGTTCGTATGTCATTGGAGAGCTGTTTCTTTAACCTGCTGGGATCTCCAGGCTAGCGTAAGGAAGGCATTGGTTTGATGGAGGAGAACAGATAGAGAATGGTGGAGACTATCACAGAACTTAAACTGAGTTCACTTGCTAAATAAAAAGGAAGCCAATGCATTTTCCATTTCTGGTTCTTTCACCAAGTGCCCACAGAAGATTTGTATGTGCCTTTGAAGAGGAGAGTGTTTGTCACCCACACCAGGCAGGAACACTGAAGCAAGCTCTCTACAACTCACTGAAGCCAAGGAAAAGGCCAGATGCTGCTGGTGCCCTGAGCAGAGAACATCTCAGCTATGATTTAATTTGTGGGGTCAGGCCCTAAAGAAATGCCATCTGCCTGATGGAAAAGCCTTCTGCCATCTGAGGGTGGCAAGCTCCCTGTTTTGAGGGGTGGCTGAGATTTTGGAAACATAGTTTTGAGGCTTTGTTGTTGCAGTGAAGAGAGAGGACAGCACTGACCCTGTTTCATGATGTGCCTGCAAACTTCCTGCTGCCAGCTCTGTGCTTTCTCACTGCAGTCACCTCTCCTAGGAATGCACAGGGATCTCACACCCTGTTTGCTATCGCTGCTACACCCCTCCCAAGATAGGTTTGGATTGCCCTACAACTGGAAAGCTGATGTTGGGTTTAAGCCACCCTGCTTCCCATGCAAGGACTTCTCCACTTGAGGCAGGGGTGGATGTGGGGAGAAGCTTCACCAAGGGCCAGCCCAGCCCATCTTACTGTTTTCTTTTGTTTGTTCTCAAGGTGGATTACAATGTTCTCAGCAATTAAGGCACCCGGTTATACAGTGCTGGTATTAGCAACCACCCAAAGGACAACAGAAAGTTTAATGTGATTAAAGAAGGTCCGGATGATGATGGCACTGTAAGTTTTCTTTGTGTGTCTTACAGTGAACAGTGCAGCAAAGCAGAGAATTTCAGGGACCGGAGATCAATCTGCTGTGCGGACACTGCTGTCAAAACAGCTCTTTAATCACTTTGCCAGCAGTCAGGCTGGTTTCTCATCGTTGTGTATGAAGATCTGATGTTCACAGTCTGCTGCAGTCCCCAAAGAGGTCAGTGCTGTGTGCATTCTCCCTGCAGTTGGTCTGTGTGTTCTGTTTCATCAGTGTTTCTTCCTGTTAACAGCCACATCCCATCACTATCACGCACTCATTTCCTTGAGCACACAGCAGCTTCTTGAAGAACTCAGAAGTGACCAAAGAGACCAAAAGTAGTGCTCACCTCAGGATGTGCTTGATTAAACTTCTCTGTGACTTCTCTGACTCTCTGCAAGTGGTGGGGGCTCATAAATACCCTCTCTATCTGCTTAGCCATTGTTCCCATACTGGGCTACATGTTTGCACCCTGTCCCCCTGCTTGCCAGCTTTGTCTTTATATATAGTTAATGGGAGAGATTCTTGGGGAAGCAAGGATCATCCAGCCAAGTGCAGAGGTGTGCAGCTAAGCTAGTCATCCTAGTTTCCATCAGTCACTGGAAAGAAAAGTAGGCTTCATCTTGCTTAGTCCTAAGCAAGGCAAGTGAACTGTAACCAAAAAGCACCTCTGTTTTCATCCACTGTCTGCAGTGTGAGCTTGGGAGGGAAGCCTCAGCCTTTGTGTCTCTGCATTCAGACACTAATTCTGGGTAGAGGGTTTAACAGAAGGGGTTGATAATTGACAGAGGTAAGTGAGTCTGTAATGCACCAGGTTCTTTACCTGAAAATTGAGCTGCTTTCTTTGCTGTTAAGGAAGATCCTTGCTGGGAAGAACATACAGAGCACTGCTGAATGGATCCTATCTCTTTGGTTCTTTTTGCAGGGCAATTGCATCCAGCTGAGTGTTCCAGAACTACATGGCGTAAAAGGAGCAGATATCCACAGCCCTTGGGCACCGAACAGTGCCACTCTCTCCCAAGTGGGAGAGTAGCCAGCTGTGACATCCCCTGAGTGGAGCAGACACATCAGCCAGAGGCCTGTGAGAACTTGGAACATTAGGAGGGGTTGGAAACCAACAAGGCCTGGACTCCCATGACTATGTCCAACCACAGCTTGAGGGTATCATTGTGCTAAAAGACTGGTTGTATGTAACACCAGGTATAGCAGCTGCTTGGAAATGATAGATATTTAAATGCTGCTTTCTCCCATCAGCCCTATCGAGTCAGCAAGGCAGGGAGAGCTTGTCCTTCACAGCGTCCTTCCCTGCCCTCCAGGCCCTGCCAGCCCTGGTACCCCACAGCATGCATGGGTGATCTCTGAAAGCCTCTGCTGGGCTAAACACCACCTGATTCAGAGGGACAGAAGGAAGCCAGGGCTGGTGCTCAGTTCCCAGTCTGTGCATGAGGTAGAAGTAAAACCAGCTGACTTCCTATCATGCTTGAGTGCATCCACACTGGAGGTACCAAGTAAACGCAGGGACTGGTCCTTGGATTTTGCTTTTTGGGTGGATCTGCCTTTTAGAATGTGGACAGATGAAGAGCTGGATCCTGTGACACATCAAGCACGTGTCAGACTTACATCTGCTGACTGGGCTGCTTTTCTTGGGGATGGGTAAGGAAAGAAAGTGCTCTGTAAGTACAGGAGGAAGAGAAGGAAGTGAATGTAATCACTGGTTGCATATGCAAGGGTGGGTTGGTTGGTTTGTGTGGGTTTTTTTTGCCTTTCTTATGCATCTTCCTGAATAAAGGTACTTTCTGGAGGCTCAAATTTAGTTGTTAGGCAATATTCAGTGAAGAATGAAACATCTCCATTTCAGGTTTTAATTCCAAGGTGTGGTACCAAAGTTCTCAGACAGTCTTCCTTTGACACGAGTGGAAAGTTTTGCTGAAGAAGGCTTCTGCTTTCAGTCATGCTATTGAGGGGCCTGGGTTACAGCTACTTTGTTTAAGAATGCATCACAGGTCAGAGAAAAGACTCTGTGAAGGAACCTCTCAGTGAGGCACTATTTTGAATCACAGAATTGTAAGGGCTGGAAGGAACTTCTAAAGATTATCTGATCATTTGAGGCAGCGATGGAACTTAAGTCCCAGAAGTTCCTCCTTTAATCAGGAGTCGCACCTTTCATTGCCACACTGTGGAAGAACCTCCCCACTTAATCCCCCAGGACTGAGTGTGGGTAGGAAATACAAGCCCACATCTTACTGGAAAACCAGGTTTCCCAAGTCCAAGACAAGAACTGGGCCTGTCAGGTCTCCCCTTCTTTTTGCTTCTCATGTGGGGGGGGGGGGGTAGATGAGCCACATGCACATCTTTTTCTTTAATACTGCATGCCAAGGCTATTTGTTGTCCAGCTTTGTGACCAGACCTTTACTCTTCAGCATCAGGAAATATCTCACTGTTCCTCTTTCATTTGCAGCAGGGAAGAAGTCCTCACCCCAAGGGCAGGAGAAGACCTGCACACAGAGCAGTGCAGCACAAGGAAAGAGAGATAGATTATTTTTCTCTCAAGAAAGATGTGCGATGAAGGCCAAAGAAAAGTCCAATGGGAGCATCTGCCATTGGAGATGCAAATGTAAGAGCCACTCTATTTGAAGTTTGGCAACACTAAAGTAGGGATCTGCCTCTTGCAGTGTTCCTGTGGACACAAGTGCAAGCAGATATTTGGAGGTTGTGTATGAGCACTGATTGGATCCTGCATTTTCACTTTGGTGCTGAAGCTGTTGCTATGAGTTCTTAGGCTGCCTGAGCACAACCTCAGAAGTGCTATTGGTCTGAAAGCTTCTACGACTGGAGTATTTTATCTTCCTCATTTTCACCGACGCAACAGAGATCCAGAAGTACAGTGAGACTTCAGAGGGCACTGCGTTGTCTGTAGTACTTTGAAGAAACAATACGCTTTTTGAAACTGGTCTAGAGTCACTGCAGTACCTGGGCTGCTTTTGGTACCAGCATGAAAGCAGGAAACTGTTCAACTCAGCACCAGTGACTGGTCTAAAACAGTCATGCAGCCACTTCAAGCATTTTGATTTCCTGCAGAATTGAAGAGTCAGAGAACAGGGAGACAGCTGTGCTGTCATGGAGCATAAGTGGAGAGCCCAGATCTGAACTCCTCAGCCACAGAGGCAGACTCCTCTCATTGGAAGGGGCTTGGTCCTGGAAATTAACTACCACTAGAGATCCATTTGGACCTCCTTAGTAAAGAACAGCACCAAAGTGCTGCTACATCTATGAACACTTGAAGTAGGTAGATAGATTCAGGACTGCATTGAAAAAAGAACCAACGGATGGTTGGACTGGATGATCCTGTAAGTCTTTTCTAACCTTGGTGATTTTATGGTTTTTATGAGAAGAAAACAAGTGATGTGATGTGATCACTGTTCCAGGGAGACCTTGCAACATGTTTCCAGTACCTAAAGAGACTATGTGAAAGTAATAGGACCACAAGTAACAGCTTTAAGCTAAAAGAAGGTAGGTTCAGATTGGATGTTAGGAGGAAACTCTTCACTAAAGGACAGTGAGGCCCCGGCACTGCTGCCCAGAGAGCCGTGGGTGCCCCATCCCTGGAGGTCATAAAATCACAAGGTTGGAAACGACCTGCAAGATCATCTAGTCCAACCATCTTCTCATTACCACTGCTACCACAAACTAAACCGTATCTCGCAGCTCCTCCTCCAGGCGCCTCTTTAACACTGCCAGGGACGGCGACTCCACCACCTCCCTGGGCAGCCATGCCAGCGCCTGACCACCCTCTGAGAGAAAAAGTTTCTCCTCATGTCCAACCTAAAGCTCCTCTGGTACAACTTGTGGCCATTTCCTCGGGTCCTGGTTGTTGCCTGGGAGAAGAGGCCAAACCCCTCCTCATCACAACCTCCCTTCAGGGAGCTGCAGGGCGCAATGACGTTCAACGACGTGCAACTGTGCTCAGGGCCAGCCTGGACGGGCCCCCGGGCAGCCCGAGCCGGGGGAGGCGCCCCTACCCAGGGCCACCGCTGGGGCCGGGCGGCATCGAGGCCCCTTCCGACCCACACCCCGCGGCCAGGCGCTCAAGGCGCCGCCCCCAGCGGGAGGCGGGCGGCACCCGGCGAGGAGGCGGAGAGAAGCGGGAAGCGAAAGGGCCGCGCCGGGGGAAGTCGAGAGAGCGGCGCGGCCATGGCTACGGTACCCGTGGGTGCGGGCTCCGCTCCCGGCCCCGAGCAGGCGGATCTGCACGCCGTGCCCATGGTGGCCCTCAACTACGGCGTGCGGCGCCGCCTCGGCCTTTACCTCAACCCGCGGGCGGCGACCGCGGCAGACTGGACGGCGCTGGCGGAGGAGCTGGGCTGCGACTACCTGGAGATCCGGCGGCTGGAGGCGCTGCCCGACCCCACGGCCGCGCTGCTGGACGAGTGGCAGAGCCGCTGTCCCGGCGGAGCCACCGTGGGTCAACTGCTGGAGCTCCTGCGGCAGCTGGGCCGGCACGACGTGCTGCTGGAGCTGGCCGGCAGCGTGGGTGAGCACCGGCAGCGACGGCGCTCGGGCGGTGCGGGTTCGGGGCCTGGAGGGACCGGGGAGAGGCTGGGGAAGGGAGGGGGAGAGAGCACCGCTTTGCAGCTCCTGACAGGAGTTGTGGTGAGGTCAGGTCGGCCTGTGCTCCCGGGGAGCGGCGAGGCGATGTGCCAGGGGACGTTCGTGTTGGATATCGGGAAGAATTTCTTCTCGAAAATAGTGGGAACGCACTGGCACGGGCTGCCCAGGGAGGTGATGCGGTCAGCATCCCTGGAGGTGTTAATGAACAGTGGACATGTGTGGCTCTGAGGGATGGATGTGGGCAATATCGGTGATGGGTTGGGGTTGGACTCGGTGATCTTAGTGATCTTTTCCAAGCTTAATGACCTTATGGAGTGCCTGGCACCCCACTGCTGGGATTTCTGCATATCAAAGATGCTCTTGAGAAGGTGGGCCAGGAGGAGGCTCACATTGATGTTCCAGGAAAATCCAGAGATGCTGGTGTGGAGATCCGGAGGTGCCTTGTGAATGTGAATAACAGGAGAGGAATTAATTTCCTTGCACACTGAGATGGAATCAGCACACAACAATAAATGTGGAGATCCCACAGCTGTTCTTGTAACTTGTTCCTTGTAAGCTCTTTGTATTCTTTGTGGTCACAGGGCTTCACAGGGAAGGCAGCTCTCAGAACTGCAGTAAGAAGGGAACTTCCTTGCCCAGGCGTTTCCAAAATGAGGTGACTCTGAGGCCGTGCATTACCTGGGTCTGTGGTGAAGAAACAACCATTCTCATTTCCTGTTACTGTGAGGATTGAAGGTATAGGAGTGCATCTCTGAGCAAGGACCAAAGATATGCCTGAACTCCTGCAGCTCTCCCAAATGAAGAATGCTCTGAAGACTTTTTGGGGAAAAAATAGTAAACATTCACGTGTTTTGTGATCCTCATCGAGAGCAGAAGCTGCCAGCTGTGGGAGGGAGCTGGAGCTTCACAATGCGTTGTGCACCCCTGAAGCTGCTTCTGGCCCTGAGTTTGGGACCTGTGGACGAGCTCTTTCAGACCCTGAGCAGAGTGGGAGGAGCTGGAGCTCCAGTCGCAAGTTTAGCCTGGCTGTGGGTCACGCTGATAAGAGGAGGCAGATAAATTCTTGGAAGGAAAATACTCTAAAATACTCTCAGATTCCGGAAATGCCTGAACTGGAAGTGGTCTGAAAGATAGGTTTTAAAAATAGGTGGTAAATAATACCCAAAAGATAAATTATTTGGGAAAAGTATTGCTGCATGCTTATTTGATACTTACAGTCTCCCCTGGTTCTCAACCACTATGTGGGACAGGATGCTAGAGGGACCTGCAGCCTGATCCAGTGCGGCCATGTCCTCATTATTTTTGGCTGAGGATTGTGGGCCTGCAAGCTGTTGCCAGTGCTCCGAGCTCTTGTAGACTTCAGAGATATTCACGCTCGTAAGAGGAAAGAAAAGGAATGGTTGCATAAACTCGGGTGCATCTTATTTCCCATTGCCAAAGGCGTCTTTGTTTGCACCACTGGGACTTAGGCTTGGGGATTAAAACATCAGCATTGAGATTTCTGTGGTCTGTGCTTCCATTACAGGAGGTGCAGATCTGGGGCACGTTTCAGTGGCCCCCACAGAGGTATCTTGGAAGGCCTCAAGATGTCTCTGTTGAATGCTACTTGATGATGCTGTGCAGCTCCAAAAGATACTGCTTTCAGTTTGTGGTTTTTACTTCAGAACCAGTTCCTTCTTTTTTCATCACATGCTCCATTTCTTGCTGTGTGGCCCTGCTAAATGTTTAGGATGCTAAAAAATGGTGTCTCCTGTAGCCTTGTGTAGTGTCACAGCCATCAGTACCACAGGGTTACGTTTATAGTACAGCTCCCCTGTTACAAACTTTGGAGTGTGGGCGCTTGAAAGATGCAACTTTTCAATCCTTGCACATCTGCTTTAAGTCTGATTTTTCTCATCAGCTTATTTCGTTATACAATCATGTTTAGGTATGTAAAACTCTTTGCTTTGGTAAGTTTGTGCTGTTTCCTGCTGAAACAGTGGTTTTTGTTTCTTCCTGACCAATTACAAAAGTGCTGAGTTCCTGCTTGAGGTACAGGGTATGCTTTCTCTCTTCTCATAGGCACACAGAGTCAGAGAATATCATGGTTTTATTCTTTCTCTCCAGTACTTCAGGCTTTTGCTCAACTGCTCAATATAAGGCCTTCACTACCTTGTTAGATGCTGAGTGGGACTTCTCAGTGTGGAGGAGCTTCTTGCTTCTCAACTGGCTTCTGCTTTGTGGGCTTTTAGAGTTGTTTTTGCCTCTTGTTTGTTGTTAAGCTGTACGTGGTCAGGCTGGGGACTAATCCATGCCTAGGCACTGGAAATCTGTCATTCCTTCAGGCTGGATTGTGGGCTCAGGTTTATCCTATAGGAATATGTGAGATGTGGGATTATGGTATGATACCATCAAAAATCTGTGCACGTTGGCTGGTCTGAGTGAACTAAGCAAGCACTTAACTTAGTGAGTGTGTTTCAGCCTTGAGTGGGGTGGTAAGCAGTCTGGGGACCAAGCTAGAAAAACTCATGTCAGGCATTTTGCAACAGGGAGAGAGAAGAATGCAGCTGGTTCTTCTCACTGCTGAACAACTGAGAAAGAAGAGGGAAGAGAGGCAGATTAGGTTATGCCTCAGGAAAATCTCTGCTCAGACCTGACACCTGGTAATCCAGTTGTGGGGCACAGAGATGTGGGACAGAAGCAGAGATGGGGTTCAGGAGCTGGGCTTCCTGCAGCATTCAGGGTATGGGTAGGGCTGGGTGGCAGGAGTGTTCCCCACCTGTGTCTGCACTTCCAGGCTTTGCTCTGCTCTGTGCTGCTGTACCAGCGACCTCTGCAGCTGCTTCAGACTAATTCTGACTGACTGATGCTTTTCTGGTTGGTGCTTGTTTGTTTTTGTTTTAGTGTGTTTGAACCTTAAGCAAAGTAGCAGACAGGCAGGAGTTTGAGCATTCTTTTGCCGGTTTCAAATCTCCATTTACTTTCAGTTCCATTTACTTTCAGCTCTTCTGTGATTGTGGATTGCAGAGTAGCAGAGCCTGTGGGATTGCTTTTCAGTTCTCCAAAGACTTTACTGTTAGATTTGTCAGTCGTTTTTAAACAAGATCTGTTTGTAATAGCTCAGTGTACATCACTGTCCCACATGGAAAATTCACAGCAACAAATACGGCACCCTCAGTTATTTCACAGTGATGCGTGCATCTGCTCTGCCCGAGCCAAAAGAGGTTTCTGATAGCTGCTCTGGAAGCCTGTTCCGGGGGCATGCTGGAATTTTACTTGTCCCTGCTGGAGGAGATGGTTGATGCAGCATCAAGAGGTTCAAGAAGGTGCTGGGTAAACTCCAGGCTAACAGGTGCGCAGATAGGTACCAAAAAACCCAGCAGGGTTTTACCCTCTACAATCACTGATGTGTAAAATAGGGAAATTTCCTGTCGTGAAGGTTGTAAAGGACCCTGTAGCATAGAAGCACAATCATGGCTTGGTGTTGTGTCTTTGCAGAGGAGGACTGCAAGAAGTACTTACGAAGGAAGCGACAGGAGGCTGAGCAGCCACTGCAGGTCCCAGCAGTGGACAGCAGCGTGCCGAAGACGTCAGAGCTGATGGGCATCACCACGAGGGATGATCCGTACGGTGAGTGCAGTGATGGCAGCACTGTGGCATACCTCATGGAGTGATCATGTTCAGCTGCCCGGCAGATTCCTGTGGGAAGTGCAGAAAATCAGTTCTCTTTCAATGTTGTGACTTCTCGTAACCCTGACTGGAATGCTGTAGCTGGTAGTCTGCAGGCGTTCTCATTCTTCCCATTGCCTGTTCCTTTGGGCAGAGAGGAGAAGCAAAAGCAACCCTGGGGAACGCTGCACCCTGGAACAGCCTGGCACAGAGCCTGCTGGCCGTGTGTGGAGGGAGACTTCCCAGGAGCAGCTGCTGTCCCTCTGCTTGGCTTGGCTCACAGAACAAACAGCTGCAGGCTGCTGAAAGCGCAGCATGAAGGGGAAGGAACTCAGAGCTGGCTGCCTTGGCTACACTGCCCAGTCTTCAGCAGATTGAGGAATCTTGAATAAAAAGGAAGCAGGGTTGGAAGTATTGCTGGGTGTGAAGTGAAGAGCAGGAGAAAACACAGCTCTGTGCACGCACGCTGGGCTGCGTGTACAGCTGCATACAGCTGGAGAAGTGAATGTCCTATAATACGAGGGTGAGCAGCAGCCGTGCAGAATGGAGATGTCAGCACACTTCTCCAGGAGCTCCTCTGGATGGTCTGACTTTGGGCAGCTGCTTTTGCTGTGTGTGGGGACATCAGTGTCCCTGCCAAGTGCCCACAGCCCCCACAGCATCTTTGCATGACGTGACTCAGGGTTGACCTGGCAGCCAGTTTCCCTTCTGCTCGACTGGCTGCTGCTTGAGTTGAAGTTGCCTGCTGGCTTGCTGCTTTTCTCATTAGAGCTACATTTAGAGCCTGACCTTGTTTTTCACTAGTAGGGCTTTAGTTGGCATAAAAACTTTAACAAACATGTAGTGACACTGATAGGGAAATAAAATAACATAGTGAAAGCCATCCAGCAATATTAAGGTGCTGGTTTGCAAGGTTCTTGTTTTTAAAATAAAGCACTGTTTTATTGGTACAAGTGCTAAATAAATGAGAGCTGCCAGCCATTAACATGTTTGGAAAACAGGGTCATTTACTTAGGATGTGGCCTTGGGTACCCAAGTTTAACACCTTGGCCATGACAGTGGCAGGTTCCAAATTTTTAGGCTTAACCCACACCACATCATCCTTACGGGATGATGGTCCTGCAGTAAGGTTTTGGGTAGGAAGCTCATAGTGCTGTAACCTGCATTACAGAAGTAAGGCTTAGAGTCAGATGGGTATTTTAGATGTGAAATTGCAGAGCAGGAGGCTCCTGGTTGTATCCTTAAGGGTACTCTGCTCCCTCCAGTTCTCCTGTGCTTTGTCTTCCCTCCCTCCCTGCTGATACTATTGTTTCTGCTTGTCTGCATCTTGGCTACACTTCCCTAACCCCTGCCAGCAAACATGGGTTTACTTCGATACACTGAAAGGTGAAAAAAAGTGGTGAAGGCACACACCTGCATTACTTCCCACCAGCCCTGTTCTGCACAAGAGCCTGGGCTGAAGGTTAGCTGGTATGGTAAAGTGTTCAGTTACCTTAGCAAGCATGGCATAGAGCTTGTCTGACAAAGGCTGGGGGAGCCATGTTCAGTCCAGGAAGTTCATTTATAGGAGAAGATGACAGCTGAATTTTTAATGGTTTCAGGGCATGGAACAGAGATGTTTGATGCCTTCATCTGCTACTGTCAGAAAGACCTTCAGTTTGTCCAGGAGATGATCAGAGAGCTGGAGCAAACGGAGTTCAAACTGAAGCTCTGTGTGTTTGATCGGGATGTCTTACCAGGCACGTGTGTGTGGTCCATCAGTGGAGAGCTCATAGAAAGAAGGTGAGTGAACCACGGCTGGTTGGAGCAGCTCAGTGTAATGGAATGTTGTGCTCATTTTAACTTTGTGTCTGCAGCACTGTGCCAGCAGAGCAGGAGAAATCCGTGAGGATGTATTCATGGGGTTTGTTTTATACTCTTGGTTCAGTAATGAAGACTCAGGCATTCCTAAACATGTAGCTTCGTAGCTCATGGGGAAGATGCTGTAATAGTGATGCCACTTACACTTGATTCCTTTTCATCCTGCAGTTGCATCTCTGGAGGGAATCTTTAAATGAATTCAGCTCCAAACTGTATTTTGGAGTTAGCTCCACCTCATTATGTATAATTTGAGGGAACAGCACTGGTGTTTAGGGATCCTTCAAACCTTTGTGGAACTCGAGGATGGTGGATGGGCAGGTGTGTCACATAAAAGTGACATCTTAGATAGAGACTTATGTAGAGAAAGTCCTTTACAGCATGAAGAGGGGAAGTGCTGACTGCTGCCCCACGCAGCTCTTTTGCTGTCACAGTCCTGCCAAATTAGGCTCAGTGAGAAATCCCAAGAGGTGTTTGAGCAGACAATTTAGATGGCATTTTTTTGTAATTGACAAACAGAGCGTCAAATAAAGATTCCATGGACAGTGAGATCTTTGCTCTCCATATTTTAGTGTGTTCTGTGTGTAGTCTTTACCCTGTAGTTAATTCCTGCTCAACCACAACTAAGGGGTTCATTTTTCTATCAGGGTAATTTGGAGAAATACCTGTGTTTTTTTTTTACTGGTGAGAATGAGAGGCGTTTCCATTGACATCTTATTTCTTTCTCCCCTGACTGCTTTCTCTGAAGGTGTCGGAGGATGGTGGTCGTCATTTCAGATGATTACCTGGAAAGCGATGAATGTGATTTTCAGACCAAATTTGCTCTCAGTCTTTCCCCAGGTAAGATCACAAGCACTCTATTTAAAATTGCCTGTCAGCATTATAACTGGTACTGCAGTAACATCTGAAGCTGTGGCTGAGGTCAGTGCTGTACCGTACACTGCACAAATGCAGAATGAGGGCTGGTCTGGGATGGATTTTAACAGATGAGATAAATCTACGTGAGAAAAGAGAAAATGAGTAATAGATAGCTACTGAACCAGAACCCACTTCCAGAGGTGTGTTCTTTCCACTGACCTATGTGTAAAAGTCCACCTAGGCACAGGGATAGCCCTGGGTCTAATGCCCTTCAGTAAGTAAACAGAAATTTATCTCTATTAGAAGCAGCCATCAAAACTAACAGTGGTTTTATAAATTTTGTCATGTAGGCAAGGACCTGGACTTGGTTCCTTGCCCTGCCATTGACCTGGATGTGAGTGAGAAGCTTGGGTGTTTCAGCTGCCAAGTGGGTTAACTGCCTGCTTCAGAGCTGGTGCAGCTGCATGCAAATTGGGGAACTTCTGAAATGCTTTAAGATTCATACAGGAAATTTGCTGCTGTTGGGAAAAGTGTTGCAGTGAATATAGTGTGAGTAAATGCTGGGGTAATTTCAGTTAATGAGCCTGCACCTTTCTGCAAAGATCCCGGAGTATCATGGATAGACAAACAAAAAATAGAATGAATTTTCAACTTTGATGGGAAAAATCTGTTCCATATTCTTCCTGAATTGAAGAAAACATCGGTTCATTTCCATCGAGGCTGCTCAGATTGCATCTCTAACTAGCAGTTACCCTACACTTGTATGTATATATAGGGAGTGTATAAATGCAGCATAGCTTAACGGTGCAGAGGATATGTTAAGAATAGGAATGCCTGCACATCGAGTCTCTTGTAGATGAGGTATTTGGTGGGGCATTAGAACTGACATGCCAGAGGTTAAACTGGAAGCCAGGACACAGCCAGCACAGCAAGGAATTAGCTGCATCTTCCATGACAAAATAATTCCTATCTTGGCATTAATCCCATGAGCATCCCTAGCTCACCACATCAGCCCCTAACCAGAAGAACTGGTAGCAAAGACCTTTTCGTTCTGTGTCAGTTTTTTTTGCAGCCTACCTTTCATTAGACCAGAAACACACATCTCTGTGTAATGACACAAACTCTACCAATAACATCATGCATGTAAGTACAGGCTTGCAGAACTAAGTTAGTTTTTCATGTAAGGTAACTCACACTGTTACACCCAGAAGGGTTTGGTGGCAAGTTGTGCAAGCTCCACTTGTTACTTAAGCACCTGCTGCAGTTAGGAAATCTTGTACATGCATCATCCAGGCCTCAGCATCATTGCATTGGGCAGAGTTCAGCTGATAGCAGGTGTCCTTATGGAAAATGGGACAGGGAGAGGTTCCTCTCTAGAACAGCTGCTGCTTCAGGCTGCAGTAACCACAGGGACAGTTGTCTGATCTTGCACATGCCTCAACAAAAGCCATTCCTGTCATGATTCCTTGCTGCCCCTTGTATCCATGAGGGTATGCTCAGCAGCGTATCTGCTTCAGAGTGGGAAGCAAAAGAACTAGAGAGAACCATCTCGAAATTTGCAGCTCGAAAAGCAAATGGTATCCAGGGCTCCATCAGAAGAGGGGTGGCCAGCAGGGACAGGGAGGTGATTGTCCCCCTCTACTCTGCTCTTGTGAGGCCCCATCTGCAGTACTGTGTCCAGGTCTGGAGCCCCCAGAGCAGGAAAGACAGCTGTTAGAGAGGGTCCAGAAGAGGCCACTAGGATGATCAGGGGACTGGAGCACCTCCCCTGTGAGGACAGGCTGAGGGAGCTGGGCTTGTTCAGCCTGGAGAAAAGAAGGCTGCGTGGTGACCCCATGACCTTTCAGTACCTAAAGGGAGCCTACAAACAGGAGGGGAATCAACTCTTGGAAAGGGCAGATAACAGCAGGACAAGGGGAAATGGTTTTAAGTTGAGGGAGGGGAGATTTAGGTTGGATGTCGGGGGAAATTCTTTGCAGAGAGAGTGGTGAGGTGCTGGAACAGCTGCCCAGAGAGGCTGTGGATGCTCCATCCATCCCTGGAGGTGTTCAAGGCCAGGTTGGATGGGGCTCTGGGCAGCCTGGTCTGGTATTGAATGTGGAGGTTGGTGGCCCTGCGTGTGGCAGGGGGTTGGAGCTTCATGATCCTTGAGGTCCCTTCCAACCCTGGCCATTCTGTGATTCTGTGATCTCAAAGAAGTTTAGATTGTCAAATCCATCTGGAAGTACTCAGGACTGTATACTGCTGTTTGCATTCGACAAGAAAATGTTCTTCATTCTTTTCTATTTGCTGCTCTTCACTGTTCTTCTCTGGGATCAAGCAAGATGCACATGGGGCCCTGGCTGATACTTGAGTGGCATGTTCTTGGTAGAGTGCTTGTGGTTGAGAAACTTGCTCTGTGGGGTGAGAACCTGCATCTTGGGGTGTGTGTACTGCTTAGAGGAGACGATATAAGCAGGATGTGAGTGTGGCTCTGTGTAATCCTCTGCCTGTGTGATCTCCCTTCCAGGTGCTCGTCTCAAGCGGCTGATTCCAGTCAAGTGCAAGACCATGAAGAACGAGTTTCCAAGCATCTTGAGGTTCATTACAATTTGTGATTACACCAACCCTTGCACCAAAAAATGGTTCTGGACAAGACTGGCAAAATCTCTCTTGCTGCCATGATGCCTTTATTCAATCTCTCCTGGCTGTGCCTTTGAACCATGGTGTTCCTACAGCATCCCACTGCAGAACTTGGATCCTTGCAGTCAGCAAGGAGCCTGCAGCCCTTGGAGCCTGCAGCTGGGAGCAAAGAATTTCCTCTAGCACTTCTTCATAACTTGGAAAGGGAAATAGAGCAACTATGTGGGTGTTCCTATTCAAGTCAGCGAGCAACAGCATCCAGCACTTGGTGAAACAAGAAATTTTACTGGAAATACAGAGAATATATACTTAAAGCCTGAGTCACTGATACGAGGTGGCTCTGTTGTAGAGTTCTTAATGAGAGCTGGGAATATAAAATGCTGGTATAAGACAAAAAATGATGAAAGCCTCCAACTGCAGGCTTTTCAAAACAAAAGGTTCATACTATTTTACAAGCTCTTTAATGGCTGTGGTAATATTTAGGGTAGGTGTCATTTTAAGATGTCAGTGAAATCCCTTGCTGGTTGGGCAGCACAGGAATTGCTGTGGTCAGTCCCTGGCCCATGCTGGTTCTGAGTTTCCTTCATTCTTTCCAGAAGAGCAGAGGCGTATTTTAATTGTTAAACCACTGTAAAGCTACTACTGGTTGTACCTTTGTTCTTAGCAACATCTGCAAGGTCAGAGCATTATCTTTGTAATAATAACTACTGAATTCAGTTTATTTCCTGTGGATGTTTTCATCCTGAAGCTGTATGGCGACATTCCTATTCCATATTCCTTTCCAGGGTAAATCCCTCATTATTGGCATCTTCTGAGTAGTCCCTTATATTTGACAAAAGTGATTTTTTTCTTCTCATTGAAGCCAGAGCTATAAGGAAGGACACACTCTTGCAGCATGTCTATGTTCATGTGACATTTGATTAATTGTCATGTTTTATTCCAATGTTTTGTATTCCCAGGCCTGATTAAATGTTTACAAGAGAGACTCCCTTTAATAGAAACTCGGTCTTGAAATCTATATTTATGTGAAAGCCCTTTCTACGCAAAGTACAGCTTTTACTCACTGGCTTGAAAAGGAACGCAGCTGTGCACCTAAGTGGGTCCAGTTCATCAATTGTTTGATTTGTAACAGCCTGCCAAAGCACATCAGCTTTTAGGATGCCTCAAAGGCACAGGGGTAAATACCAAATAAAGAGTGTACTGAATTATAGATTGGGCTGTTTAAATTATAGAAGATAATGTTACCTTAATAGGAAAGAGCATCTTTTAACTAATCTCCACAGTTATTAATGTGTGAGCAAGAATCCTGCCCAAAGTGGTGTTTTACAGTGACCTATTGGGATATTAAACAGGTTTTCAGTAACTATTTGCTCTCTATGCTGGGAAGAGGAGAATCTTGCTTATGTATCTGCAGTTGCCTGATCTCTACCACTTTGTTCCTTACCTCAGCCACTGACACGGGTTGATTTTACAGCTTAAGGTTTTACTAGCTTACGTCTTTAAGATTGTATCTGGATTATGATTGATTTAAGATGTATTTTAAAGCATTACCAGGACTGAGTTCCTCAGGCAGGGACGTGTGCAACTGTCTCTTCCTCAGCCACCCTGTAAATGGATGTTCACTTACCAAAGGTTGCTGCCATGTCATTGCAGGTGCTGTTGCTGCTTCCTCCTGGCCAAGAGAGGCCTGTCCTTGACCTGAGCACAGCAATGTGTGCGTTGACATGGGGACAGTTTTAGGGTAGGCTCACAAACTCAGTGTTTTTCAGTCCCTTCTAACTGCTGGCATGGGACCAAGGTGATATTTGCACCATTCTGTCTTGTTGGCTCCAGTGAGAAGCCTGTGCACGTCAGAGGAGAGAAGTTAACCTGATGATGAGTTTCTGAATAGTTCATCTTCATGTCCTCTTGCCCTCAGGTCCCTCCTGCAGGAAGGAGACAGCTGCATGCCTTAGGGCTTTTGCATAATCGTTAAATGTTAATTATATAAGAGTTTCTGGAGGCTGCTTGATCCCCAGTCGCTCCTGGGGCTTGATGAATTCCCATACTCCAGAGCGTCTATCAACATTATTTATGGGTCACTGCTCACAGGACTGAACCAGATCCCTCTTGAATTGAGAGCTGAAAGAACTCATCCAGTGTCTCATTAAGGGCGAGAACAAAAGCAGGAGGCTCTGGTCCGGACGCTAGAGGGAGGCAGTGGGCCATGCTGCCAGCACTGAAGCTGCAGGGCTTGTGCTGCCAGGGGAGAAGCCTGGCTGCCCAATGAGGGAATGGGCCCTGTGCTCTGCCTGAGTCATAGAATCATAAAGATTGGAAAAGACTTCAAAGATCATCCAGTCCAACCATCAGTCCATCCCCACCATGCCCACTGACTGTGTCCCACAGATTGGGTTTGGTGGTGCTGGGCTGGGCGTAGAAGAAATGTACTTTGCATTCACCACTGAACACTTGTTGGATGTCTCAACAAGAGGGTGTGTGGAACTTTCTCCTCCTCCAGTTTTGCTGATATAAGGATTTTCTGAGGCTTTTTTGTTTCCCTTTGCTTCTTGCAACCTCTGCTAAGGAAAGTATATCTAAAAGTTGGAGAGTTCTGTTGGCAGACCCAACCTGTGCAGTGACTTCTGCATGGGTCCTGATACGTGGTTTGACACTTGAGATGCTGTAAATTAGGAGAAATAATAGCAGCAAGAGCAATAACAGTCAACTTTGTAATAGATGATCTGGTGACTGTGGAGCAAGGAAAGTGCAGCTTCTGGAAGGGAAGTCAAAACCAAGAGCTGAATTCCTAAATCTTCAGACTTCCAGTAGGTGGATTCACACAGATGTCAGTGCTTAGGGTGGTTTCATTGTCTCCTAACTGCACTCACTACTCCTGGCTGGCTCAGGTGCAATGCAAGTATCACCATTACTGCCTTCTTACAAGCAGTTCACATTTGTCTTGTCCTGTAGACTAAAATTACAAATTTGGGGCAAAGTGAATTAACAGCCATGACATGTGAAATGTATGGTTTGAATGACAACCCTTGTCTGAGTAAAATCCAGCTTATGCACTTCTGACATTTTTGCATCTGTTTTGGCACAGTTCTTTATGAGGTGTGACATCTCTGAATGATAAAATCGAGTTCCTGTAAGCGTGTTTCAGTGGCGGTCGTGGTTCTCCTTTCCCCTTGTTGGCACTTAGTGGAAGGTCAAATGTTTCAGCACCTTTAAAAAAGGAACTTAAATCATGATGTTACGTGTTGGGTTTCTTTTTTCCATTTTGTTTCTTTCCTTCGTTGAAATTATCCTTGTACCAAATCATTTATTTTTATATAGATATATATATATATTTATATTACTTTCTATCCTGATAAGAATCTTGTATAGCCATTCTGAAAACAGTCTGCAGTTCTGTGTTTTCTCTTTCAGACAAGCTTTTGGTACGTGACAAAACATTGTAAAATAAAGAAGCAAAACTCCATGGGCTGGATATCTTCCTTGGGCACCAGAGAATAAATGCTAGATCTGAAAAGGAAGTGTTAGTGAGGAATAATGGGAGCTATTTCTTTTTTGTTTTCTTGTTTTGCCTAAAACAATTCCCCAGCAGAGGCTTTTGAGAGTGTCTGGAACAGGGAGAGGTGTGATTGAACCACACCAGGAAGAAAATTACCAAGAAATTCAGGCATGTGTGGTTTCTTTTCTGCAGAATGCAGTGTGCGGTTGTCGCTGTGCCAGGGGTGCTTCAGCTCTGGTCCTCACCAGAGTGATGGAGCCAGGGCTTTGGCTTCCCACCCTCTGGAAGCAGGGCTGCTGGGTGTCGAGCTGCTGTTCTTCATTTTTTCTAGGGGATCCCACCAAGGAACACAATGCTGCATGGCAGCACTGAGGATTTTGCCAGCTTCATTTCCTTAGGCAGGCGGCTTGGAGTCAGTCCAAGGCAGGCAAATAACTCACAAACTCAGCAGCTGTTGGGCCAGGGCCCCACCACAAGAAAAGTTGAAGGATCACTGAATCAGAGAAATGTTGGTTGGAAGGAATTTCTGGAGGTCAAGGAGAAGCTGCATTTCACATCAGGAGAGGCTATATGCTAGGCCTCCTGCGGGACAATGTTTCCTATAAGGGCTATGAGGTAATGCCTTTGCTATGGCTGCTACAAACCAGCACATGTACAGTGATGTAGATATCATCCTCAAATGTATTATTCCAGGTAGAAATGTTGGCGCCATTTCCCTGTTTACTGGAGGACAGCATTTACCTGGTGAAATTTAGCAACTTGTGCAAAATGTTCTCTAAGCTTCAGGGTTAGAGGGTGATGGATAGAGCATTGCTCCTCGATTGAGCAACTGCTGGTCTTTGTTACATGGACATGAAAAGAGTTGCTTACTCGTGATAGAAGCATTGCTTGGTCCAAAGGGCACATCTACTGATAGAAAATTAGCACAGGGAAGAAAAATATGCAGAAAAATAGCTGGGAAAATGTTGTTTGATCACGCTGGAAACTTATTTTAATAAGGCAATTAAAAGAGAAAAACACAAAGTTCACGTTATTGGAAAGCATGCTAATAGAGTTTAAAAACCTCTGTCAAACCTGTTGGGGTTTTACTAAACAACAAAACCTTTGCTGTGCACAAATACTTTCCTCTAACTACTTTTGGTTCAACTGATGCTCGCTAAGATGTTGAGATGACTTTGAATTTCCTTGACAATCACTATCAAGCCCTGCCCAGCAAACCCGTTCAGCACAACCTGCAGTCAGGAGAATGAATATTGTTGTATCCTGTAAATGTTTAATTGATCGAACCTCTACTGAAGTGCTAAATGGCTCAAATGCCTCATTTACAAACAACACATTTTTCGCTCCCACTGCAGAGTCCATCTCAGCAACGTGCTGTTCCCTCCGTCCATCTTTTGCAATAAAGCTGTCTGTGCAACTTCCCCTGTTCCCAGACTTGCTTAGAACCATCAGATCGTTAAGGCTGGCAAGCACCTCTGAGATCGTCTAGTCCAACCATCAAGCCATCACCACTACGCCCACCAACCATGTCTCGCAGTGCCACAGGTTGGGTTTTGGTGGGGCTGGGCTGGAAATAGAGAACAAACACAGTCCGCATTTGCCATCAGATGCTTGTTGGATGTCTCCGTACAAAAGTACGTGAAACTTTTTCCTCCTCCTGCTTAGCCCTTGCCTTCCCACTGCCCTCAGAGCGGGGGCACACACGTGCGATGGCTGGGTCTGATGTTGTGCTGGTGGGATTTCTCCATGCTGC